GAACAAAAAAAAATGCCTTGGGGGCCTTGAGTTGATTCAGCTGGAGCCCATAGGACAGACTCCAAGGGTACAACCGTAGCCTGAGGCGGGGAAGAGGGGTCACAGGAGATGCCTGCTTGACTGCATCAGAGTAACTAGGACTCTGATCTCAGAGGGAGCAGGCTCACAGGCAGCTGGGAAATCTGCGCGAGGACAAGCAGCAGGCATTTCAGAAGAAACACAGCCGATCCCAGTCAAAGTACCCTCAGGAGTCAGCGCAGGAGCCCTGTCGAAGAGAGAGTGATCAGCACCCGGCACCTGGGATGTACCATGTCCCCTCCTCTCAGGGTCCTGCAGCATCAGGTAAAGCTGAGGTCTCCACATATGGTCATTACCTCCCTCAATATCAGTGTTGGGGTGAAATCAGCTGAAGAGAACACGCACTTCAGCCTCACACAGACATGCGGGGGGCGGGGGGGCGGGGCGGGTGGGGGAAAGACAGCTGACAGCTGTTATCCTTGAGGAATATGAGCATTTCTATCTTTTTAGCAAATTTAATTAAACCAACCCTCTGTCTACCACTAGAACTCACTTATAAATGCCCACAGGCAGGAGCCACCAGCATGTGGCACAAAATGAGCATCATCCCCGTGCCTACCACCCATGACGTGGCTCTGGCTCCACGTTTCACAGAAAGATTCACCAAAGTTAAATGCTGATTCTGTATAACAAGCCCGGAGCTTCCTCCCCGAATTCTTGACCCCCTGGCAGGGAATAGGCCATGAACCGTGACCTTTGTGACCAGGAACACTCATCTTGCCCCCTCCCTCTTTTTCCTGTCCTAGCAGCACCTCCATCCTCCCCTCCCCCTGAAATCAGAGCAGAGACAGTACCTGGGGGAGGCCCATGATATCCTACAAAAGGACTTTACACAGAGAAAGGAGTCATCACACAAACAGCCAATCCCTCTCCCACCCCAGGAAATGAGATAAGCAACTTAGTTGGAAATCTATTTCCCCCCTACCCATCAGCCACAAGGATTTAACCCCTAATCTACAATCCCTCATATGAATGGACCTGTTGCTAGAAGGAAGGGAAGCCAATGCGCTGACCTTCTTAAAGAAGCAGCTTTCGGAAAGGGGCCAGCGAGATAGTGATGAGCTCTCAGCCCCAGGACACTCGCCACAGTCACGCCTGTGGCAGGGCTGCCTTTCAACCAGTAAAATCCAGTCCAAAGCCTGGCCTAGCTGTCTGTCTCCTCCCACCACCAGCCTGGCTTCCTGCCTTCCAGGTCAGGAGGAGAGTTACACCTAGAAGCAGAGGCCCTCTCAACAGAGGGTCCTGGGCACAGCCCATCTTCCCGTTTCCCCAGTTGCTTACCCTTCTGTTTCCTGTGACGGATGACAAGGCCCAGGCCCAGGAAGATCAGCCCCAGCACGAAGCCCCCGATGCCACTCAGCATCTTGCTCTGGGCGGATCCAGACTGTGCCCCTGGGGAGCAGAGCCTGAGTGTCAGCTTCTGTCCCCAAACCCACAGAGGCCCTTTGGAAGCCTCCACCCCTGGGGCAGAACCAGCCAATAAACCCTTGGACACTGTGGGTGGTGACAGGGGGAGTGGGTCCTGCTCCTTCACACGAGTCCTTAACCTTGGACCCCAAGCCCTGTCACCAGCTGCCACAGTCAGCCTTCCAAGGCTCCCAGGCTGGGTTCTGGCTGTGGTGTAGTGACCTCTCTAATGTCTGGAAACACAATGAGATCAGGAATCTTCTGATGCTCCTGCCATGGAATGAGGTGGCCTAGTGTCCTGTGATGTGCACTCAGCAGTGATATCAGGGGTAGGGATGCAATGGGACAGGCAGGGGCCGCTGTTTGCCCTCTGTCTGTGGGGCCTAGGGTACATGAAAGAAACTGCCCCTTACACCACTCCACTGTGATGGGGCTCTGGAGGCTGGGATGCTCCACGTGGCAGGTGTAGACGTCTCCTCGCTGGGGGGTCATTTCCAGCATCACCAGGACCTGGTAGGTCCAGTCCCCATTCCTAATCAGGGGAGTGGACACGACGCCAGCTGTCTCCTCCTGGTCGTTCCGGAACCAGCGGACTTTGATGTGGGCTGGATAGAAATCCGTCACCGAGCAGACCAGCATGTTGTGGTGGGTTAGGGCCTCTGTCCTGGCCGGGGAGATGGTCACTGTAGGCTCCACTGGGAGGGGAGGGGTGACAGAGAGGAAAAGACGGAGTGAGATGTGGGGCACAGGCAAGTCTCCCCAGTGGATGCCTAGGAGGTGGAACCAGCAGGAAAGATCCCTGGATTCTGAGCCCAGGATGAGGGCCCAAGCTGGGCCACTTGATTAACTCGAGTAAACACATGAGTCACAAGCTAACAGCAATCATTTTATGAGAGTTATTCTATTGATACCAATTGATAAAAATGAAGCCCTTGAAATGTTTAAATTGCTAGGTTATACAGGCCACTATTCACAATGTTTTTAAATAAAGATGATAAACACGGACTTCTTTTCCCTCCACCTGTTGATGGTGACTCTGGGGATCAGCTCTAGGAACTCACACCAGGGCAGTGACCCTGTTTCCTGTTGGTCCTGCTGCTCCTCACAGTGGAGAAAACACATCATTTTGAGTCTTCTGGGGGATGAGACCATCAACACTGGTCATGGCTCCATGAACAGTAACACGGACTGAGAATTAGGAACATTACAGACAGTTCTATGTCCAACAGAGCAGGACAGCAGTGACCAGCACATCCTTCCTTCGAAGCAATGCTCTCAAACAGGCTCTTCCCTACCATTCTCAGCGGGAAACACAGACAAGATTTAAGGGCAGGAGCACTTCTCACGTGTCATCCAGCAATGAACCCCTCTCAGCTGTTAGCCTAACCCAGCTCAGATGCCATTCTGTGTCAAACTCCCATTAAATTGTATATTATTAAATAATAAACCTCATGTCCACATCATCTATGCCACCTATGTTTTTTCCATTTACTGATTCATTTATTCATTCATTCAACAAATATAAATTCCACAAGCACTAGAAATAGAAAGATAACAGACTATGGTCCCTCCTCTTATATAAATTGCAATTTAGTAAAATAAATGTTATTTTGAAAGTTTATAAAATTTTTGCAGGAAAATAGAACCTTGAAAACAAGTAACACTGATAAATATCATTCTTGCCCATGTCTCAATTCCTTTATCTTCTCAGAGAGCCATCTGTGGTCAAATACTACAGACTCTCCCTCCATATTTACACATCTTATCCTTTATCTTTCCAGCCATTTTATTGCATTTCCCTTATAGTGTGAAACTATATACTCCATAGTTCATGTGTGCATTTTAAATATGTTTTCATTGATTTGTTTTAAAGAGAGAGAGAAAAGAATGGAGAGAGAGGGAGAGAGAGAGAGAGAAACATTGATCATTGTCTCCTGCATGCACCCTAATCAGGGATCGAACCCACAACCTGAGCCTGTGCCCTGACCAGGAATCAAACCCAAGACATTCCAGTGCTTGGAAAAACACTCAACCACTGGGCAACACCAGCCAGGCTCACTTAGACTCTTGTCAGGAAAAAGAAGGGAGAGAGGGAGAGAGAGAGAGAGAAACATTGATCATTGTCTCCTGCATGCACCCTAATCAGGGATCGAACCCACAACCTGAGCCTGTGCCCTGACCAGGAATCAAACCCAAGACATTCCAGTGCTTGGAAAAACACTCAACCACAC